TACCCCCACATCCCCACCTCATCCTTCCCCAACCTGTACCAACCTCCCCATCCTCCGCCCCCCTTCCTCTCACCTGCATCACCCTCCCCATCCCCTAACCCCCACCTCTGCCCCATCCTCCATCCTTCCAACCCCACCTCTGTCCCCTCCCCTTCCCCATCTTCCAACCCCCACCTCTGCCTCATCCTCCATCCTCCCACCCGTACCAACTTCCCCATCCCCCAACCCCCACCTCTGCCCCTTCCACCCCCCCACTCACCCCATCCTTATCCCTCTGGTTGAGCGTGTGGCCGTGGATGGCCAGGATCGCCGTGATGGTTCTTGAGTGGCCACCTTCAGCCGCCAGGTGGAGTGGAGTTCGCCCTTGGTGGTCGCGGTGGAGGAGCGCCCCTTTGCTGAGGAGGAGCTGGACCACTCGAGTGTGACCTGTTGGAGGAACTGCTTTATAACTTTTTAATCTATTTTTTTTTTCTAACAATCTGTCTGTCTATTCTGTAAATGACCGTTCATGTGGGTGATTACCTGTTGGTATTATTAACGTTTTTGTTATTGTCGTTGTTTGTGTTTTAATAACTAGTAGAGTTATTATTGTTACTTTTGTTTAGATTGTTATTATCATTAAGATGGTGATAGTCAATTTCACTAGGGTGATAGAGAAACAGAGTAAGTGTATGAATGTGTGAGAGAGAGAGAGAAAGGGAAAGCAAAAGAAAAAGCAAAAGGAAAAGCAAAAGAAAACACAAAAGAAAAAGCAAAAGAAAAAGCAAAAGAAAAAGCAAAAGAAAAAGCAAAAGAGAAAGCAAAAGCAAAAGCAAAAGCAAAAGAAAAAGAAAAAGAAAAAGAAAAAGAAAAAAGAAAAAGAAAAAGAAAAAGAAAAAGAAAAAGAAAAAGAAAATGAAAGAGAAAAAGAAAAAAGAAAAAGAAAAAGAAAATGAAAATGAAAATAAGAGAAAGAGAGAGAAAGAGAAAACGAAAGCGAAAGACAAAAAAGCGAAAAAAAGTCAGCGACAGACAATAAGACCAAGAAAAAGACTGTACCTGCTTGACTCGCGAGGTGCAGGGCAGTTTTTCCTTCATTATTCCACTGATTGAGGATGAAAAAGCCGTCGTCGGATTCCAGGAGTTTCTTCACCGTGTTGTAGCGTCCTAACCTAAGATAATTGAGACCTTTGATTACTTCTTAAGCGGATGGTTTGAAGGGCTGTGCGTGTGTGGCTTACATATGATGTTTTTATGTCGTATTTTTATGGTGTATTTCATGTATGGGTGTATATTTTACATGTTTATTTATCGTTATTGTCATTGCGTATTTTAACAAGTTATCTACCTATAAATTTTCCTCGCATCTTCTCTCTCTCCCTTCAAATATATATATTATATATATATATATTATATATATATATATATATATATATATATATATATTATATATATATACATATATGTATATATACACATATATAAATATATGCAGACACATACATATACATATACATGCACACACACACACACACACACACACACACACACACACACACACACACACACACACACACACACACACACACACACACACACACACACACACACACACACACACACACACACACACACACAATGTACAATATATATAAAAGCAACCTACTTAGCGGCGAAGTGCAGCGGGTTCTCGTTCTGCTGGTCCCTGACCCTAACGCAGGCGCCGAGACTCAGCAGGAAGTAGAGAGCGCAGAGCCGCCCCCCCTTCGAGGCGTAGTGCAGCGGCGTCCAGCCCTTGGAGTCTCTCTCGTTCAGGAGAGAGAGGAGCTTTGATTTCATCTGCTGGGGGAAGGGGAGGGGGGAGTAGGTTGGGGGGAGGGGAGGGGGGAGTAGGTGGAGGAAGGGGAGGGGGGAGTAGGTGGGGGAAGGGGAGGGGGGAGTAGGTGGTGGGAGGGGGAAGGGGGTAGTAGGTGGGGAGGGGGGAAGTAGGTGGGGGAAGGGGAGGGGGGAGTAGGTGGGGGGAGGAGAGGGGGGAGTAGGTGGGGGAAGGGAAGGGGGTAGGAGGGGGTGAGGAGGTAGTATAAGGAGGGGTAGGAGAGGGGTGAGGAGGGGGTATAAGGAGGGTTTTAAGTAGTAGGAAGAAGAGGTAAGGAGGCAGAAGGGGGGGGGGCAGAGGGGGTAGATTTATGTATTTGTTTAATAGATTGTTTGGAAGGTTCAGTTATTTATTTGTTTTATCTGTTAGTGTAACTGATAATTTTTAGCTTTCGTTTTAGCTTGGGAATAAGTCTGTGCGTTACTTTATATTCTTTATTCTGTGTGTTTTTTTACGTATTCATTTATTTATTATTATCATTTTTTTCATTCATTATTTTTTTTTAGTTATTTTCTTTCTTTTTTTTAAAGTACTACGAACGATAATACTTCGGTCGTTTTGGAGCCGTATTGGTATTCGGTACTTTTTGGTAAGTATGATTTAAAAAAATGAATATTATTTTTGCAGCTGTATAGGTCAGCGTAC